CGAATATTGAAGGATCTAGAAGCACCTAGAACGCTCGAGAGGTACAACGCCATCTATTGTCGGATAGCGGAAACTACTACTAGAGAGGTGTGGAATATTCTCGATAATTCTAGGGATAAGGTATCGGCTATAAAAGCGTTGTAGGGATGGCACGCAGTCAGTCAGTAATCGGAACTACTCGAAGCAAAACAGCAAACGGATCACCTGAAGCGAAGCGGAACAAGTTAATTGAGAGTTTTAAAGTGTTTGTTGAGTGTTTTAAGTTTTTTTTTTTGTTCCAAGTATAGAATACAGTTTTTAGTTGTACTTTGGTGGAATTTTATTTATCCCTAACCCCAGCGCGTTACATTACTTTGGCATTGTTGTTATCGGGATTCGGGAACCTGTCGTAAATCTTGTGTTCGAAAACGATTATCGCCACAAACAAATCAGTTTTAAAATAACTCCTAAAGGAAACCCGTTAATAAATCGATTCGTAATTTTTTACCTGTCAACTTACAACGCTTATCTGAGGAGGGTTTCTTGAATTTTATCCGTCCTCTTTAAGTCTAAATAATCTGGATCGTTTTGTCGGAAAACCGTGCTGTTAAAGCTTCATTTCTCAATGGAATATCGATAGGAACGTGGACAGAATTAGAATAGTTCGCTTAAGTTATGTTTTGGCAATGCAAAGACCCGTCCGCGCGTAGCTAGAATAGCCCCTTAGACTACCAGAGAATGTTTTGCGAAAATACCATTTATAATTATTGTACGAGAATGATAGTAAGCAATCAATTTCAAATTTATCATAATATTATGTGAAGCAAAAACTTTGTACCCCTTTTTACGAAAATTGCGCGGACGGAAGAGTATGAAATTTCCCAAACTTATAGAGAATATAGAGAAGGAATGCAGAATCTTAATATTTTTTTAATTATGCATAAAAAATACATTTAATCAATAAAAAAAAAACATTACACACACTACCATGTATTTGACACACACACGCATGCATAGTATTTGTTTATTGTCAAACTTTTCTTATTGCTAAAAGATAAATAAATTTTACTTATTAAATTGAGAATAGATTAAATATTGTTTGTCTTTATTCATATTTTTCTAAAGTGTAGTCTTGGCGAAATCTATGATTACAGAAGTATATAAGTCTTTGACAATAGAATCATAATAGTGTACAAACTTATAATTTCAATTAATTATAGTCGAATTTCGACTACCGGAGGACCGCTACTAGAATTAAATATGCAATTCGACAATAATGTTTTGCTAATGTGTGCTATCACTCCAATTAAAAGCCGTCGTGGCCTAAAGGATAAGATGCTCAGGGCACTCGTATCGAGCGATCCAAGAGTACTGGTGTTCAAATCCCGCACCCAAATACATTTTTTTATGATGAAATACGTTTTTATTTATTTATTGCTTAGATGGGTGGACGAGCTCACGGCCCATCTGGTGTTAAGTGATTACTGGAGCCCATAGACATTTACCACGTGAATGCGCCACCCACCCTGAGATGTAAGTTCTAAGGTCTCAGCATAATCGCAGTAGTAGGCAGCGGCTTGGCTCTGCACCTGCCGTTGTTGAAGTCCATGGACGACAGCAACCACTCACCATCAGGTGGACCGTATGCTCGTTTGCCTACAAGGGCAATAAAGAAAAAAAAAGTTTCAACGGCTGCTTCGCGGCAGAAATAGGCGAGGTGGCGGTACCTACCCATGCGGACTCACAAGAGGTCCTACCACCAGTAAGAAAGAACTTGTTCACGACTTGTTATTGTAGTAATTGTTATATTCGTAATTACTGTACAATTGAGACAACATACCTCAAGTCTTGAGGTGGGTAGGGTATACACATTGTGATGGTTATAGGCCCTGGTAACTGCCTATTTCTATATCGAAGCAATCGTCCGTTACGCGTGAGATATTACTGAGAAGTCATTAACAACTTAATACCCGGTGGGCTATAAGCTAGTCTGTCCATATATACCTCTAACTAAAATGAGGTTTCAACTTAAATGTAAGTTATGTAATGTTTTGGAATATCTATCTATATATATAAAAATGAATGGCTGTTCGTTAGTCTCGCTAAAACTCGAGAACGGCTGGACCGATTTGGCTAATTTTGGTCTTGAATTATTTGTATTAATCCAGAGAAGGTTTAAAAGGTAGATAAATATGAAAATGCTTGGAATTAAATAAAAATAACAATTTTGTTTTTTCTTAGATCTGTTCCCCGTCGGACGGATTCCTTTTGTTTGTTTTAAGTTTATTTTATACAAAAGTTTAGGTCTTTTATTTATCGATTGAGGCACTACGAAGTCTGTCGGGTCAGCTAGTTTATTATTGTTTTTTTGTTAAAGCTATGCAAACAGCGTAATCTTCATACAAATCCACACAAATAACACACTATTTTTATACATCCTAACTCAAGCTACTACTACTCGTACAACGTTCAATATAAACCTTAGTTATCTAATATATATTTGCTATAAAATTTATTAATAATTTAGCTAACGAATTACTAGAAAATCAGTTTGANAAAAAAAAAAAAAAAAAAAAAAAAAAAAAAAAAAAAAAAAAAAAAAAACAAAAAAAAAACAAAAAAAAAAAAAAAAAAAAAAAAAAAAAAAAAAAAAAAAAAAAAAAAAAAAAAAAAAAAGCTACAACGTTCAATATAAACCTTAGCTATCTAATATATATTTGCTATAAAATTTATTAATAATTTAGCTAACGAATTACTAGAAAATTAGTTTGATTAATAACTTGATGCAATGATTGCATTAAAAAAAAACGTTATTAATCATTACCTATTTCTCATTAAACAAACTACGGGACGCCATTAATGATTTTCGAATCGTTTCAAAACTTCTACGGAATTGCGACCAAAAATCGGTTTTAATTACAGAATGGCTGTCAGACGTCAGACGCGGTACTGCCGGAAGTTGCCGGGAAATTTCAATATCCACGCCGATAGAAACGCGGATATAAGATGACTAGATATGAACGCGATCGAATTTTACTTTTTTGGAGCTGTCTCTGGTATACTGGGAATTACTAGAGCATGAGCTATTTAACGTTAAATGGCTAGCAGGACTTATGGACATTATTCTTCTGCCCTTCTCCCAGTCACTTGGGGTCGGCGCAACATGTTTTCTCCTTCCATACTTTTCTATCATATACCATTGCTTCGCTCACTCTCCTCTTACCCATATCGTCTTTCACGCAATCCATCCATTTCTTCTTAGGTTTACCTCTTCCTCTATATCCTTCCACATTCATAGTTAACACTCTCTTACCAACCTCATTTTCATTTCGTTTCATCACAATGACATGTCCATACCATCCCAAACGCGCACTTCTCAGCTTCTCTGTCACAGGTCCCACTTTCAGACTTCCTCTAACAAATTAATTCCGTATTCTATCCATTCTCGTTACTCCACATATCCATCGCAAAATTCGCATCTCTGCTGCATGCAATCGCCGGACTTATGGACACCAAACTATGAATTTCAGTGCCGAATTTGATAGAAATGTAGTCGAACTCATATAAATGTCGTCTGAAACATCTCTCCGGAATTTCTCAGTGGGTCGCGATTCAGATTCGGTGGTAGCTTCTGGGAAGTACGGCTCTTGTCAGGGTTAGTATTAACTAATTCTCTCAGGTTGAACCCGTGAGCTCACTTACACGTAGAGCGTATCTGAGAGCCCCTTAGGATCAGTGAATAGGTAGGGATAAAACAACACTTTTGCATATTTGCTTTTTCATATTCACGTTTTTATTTCATTTAAATCATTCAAATTACCACATACTTTATCCATTGTTATGAAAAAAGCAATTATATTGGGCCAAAATCGTATTTTGTTTTTGATTTGTTGATTGGTCAATATTAAAGTTAAAATTATTTGAGTTTGGGAAAAGTGCATTAGATGGATTCAAGTCTGGCTAATAAAAGCATGTTGAAAAGAATATCGTCTCAATTCACTTGTGAAAATCACAAGTTCACTTTTAAGCATCACAAGCTTAACGGAGTCATTACATTTACAATTCGCACAAAATACAAATATTCTTTTCTTCTTTTCTATTCTTTCTACAAATAAAGCCATTAATTAAAATGATAGAAAAAAAAAAAAAAATATCACTTCTAGTGCGATGAAAATAAATTGATTCAGAGTCAAAATTCGGAACAGACCTGAACTGAAACGGCTTTTAAATCTTGTGACAGTAATTTTATGAATAAAACATGATTTTTTTTTTCATCTAAATATCTTCCGCTAAATAGGAAATTCAAGTCGGCATAAAAAGAGGTTCATTTGAAATTCTAAACGCCAGCCAGTGACCTAAGCTTTCGGATTTTAGTTTTTTTTTGGACGCAGAAAGGGCTGTTTTATTGCTTGGATGGGTTAACGGGCTAACTGATGTGAAGTGGTTACCAGAGCCCATAGATATCAATAACGGCAATGCGGCCACTCACCTTGAAACATGAGTTCTAAAGCTTTAGTTTTTATGGTACAATACAGCGGCTGCTCCACCCCTACCCTTAAAACTGAAACGCATTACTGCTTCACGGCAGAAATAGGCAGAGCGGTGGTACCTACCCGTGCGGGCTTACAAGACGTTCTAACGCGGGCTTCCTTTTATCACACGATGTTATTTTTTCAACGTGGAAAGCATTAGTATACACATGTTAAAAACCGTCTTTCATTAAAATCGGTACCTGCCTGCGGGATTCGAACACCAACACTGTCGCATCGCTCAATAAAAATGCACCAGGACTCTTAACCTTTAGGCCATCGTAACATTCGGTCCCTGAACGCTAGGTTGCTGCAGAAGTAACATTATTCCTGGTCTTAAGTAATAGCTTAGTTGCTTTTAGAGCCATAGCTGGCATTCCTACATACGGCCCCCCAGCTATCCATAAAGATTCAGAAATGCTTGTATCCAACCACAGCCCACTTAGCATAAACGGTACAAAAAAATCAATAACTCTTTTATATGTTTTTCAGATATACCAGCCGTACCTAGCAGGGAAGATGGAAAACTGTGAGTACTCTCCAAATTCTTATACTTAGATTTCTATATATATATTCTTATATTCTACTTACATATCTTAGATTTCTAAAAATAATCATACGCATTAATAATATGAGCGGTTCAAATTGATTTTCTCCTTGTTGTTGATAAAAATAAATGAATAATATTTTGCCAATTGAATTGGCTAAATTCATTTCATGCTATTTGATTAATGTTCCAAATTCTTTTCATTTCATTTCAATTCCTATTAACATTTTTCACAAAAAAAAATTAAAATATTAGGCTGTATGGTATGATACATTTGCCTTTCCAGTTGGAGAAATACAACAACTACTACTACTGACATTTGACAAGTACTTAATTTCAATAGTAGTTTGATGTCACTTCCGTTGCATACCNACGTCGAAGAAGAGAGCTCCCGTGTATAACGGTTTTGGTCGATTAAGCCCCACAAGAATGTGCTCCGTGAGGCGGTGCACCTGTTGAACGCATGAGTGATTTGTACGGAATCCGAATTGTTCATCGATGAGAATGCCCTTGGATGAGACGAAGTCTCTGAGGCGTTTGTAGAGCAGACACTCATACAGTTTGCCTAGAGGCATGAGGAGGCTAATCGGGCGGTAGCTCGTCGGATGATTTTTTGGTTTTTTTTAGTTAATCCCTCTGGTAGTCTGGGAGTTAGATTGCTGTTTGATTCTGGCTATGCAGAAGCTCCAACGATGTCATTTAGTAGCGGACCAATTTAGATTGCCGTTGATTCTGGATTTACAGGAGCTCCAATGAAATGGATGGCATTTAGTATCGGGCCAATACCCAAAAATTCGTAAACCCAATCAATTGTTTATTTAATTTCCTTGAAAACCAATAGTTAAACCTTCCAATACAGCTAAATGGATCTCCAATTCCCTAGAAATCGGCCATGAAAGAGAAATTTAATTAAACCCTGGCGCGATGACTCGCATCGTTTAATAAGTTTTAATAATTGATTTTGTTACATTTCCGTGTCATTATTTACCTGATAAAGTACCAAAAGAATAGCTCCGCTTCTGTTCTAGGATATGCCTTTTCAAGCTACCACTAAATGTCGCTTTGGCAAAAACAAGGCCTAAAAAGACGTACCCGGGATTTATCTTGTAATTAAGTGATGGAAAATCGTGTTCCAGAAACCATACTGGTACTGATTCAGTGACATATCCCATGGAATGTACATGGGACCATTTAAGCGAGTTTTTTCATAAGTCATTGAACGTGGATGCCGAAAATCAGGGCTCCGTCGACCCCCGCATACGTTGATTGACTTGTATCTTGACCGTGACTCGAAAAAGAGGTTATTAATTTTTCTGGGCGCTACGACATGTCCTTCTTCAAACGAGATTTGAAATGAGTCCATTCACGATCAGGTGTTATGATGATGATGGTTTTGGAACGCAAAAAACTGAAACAATTTTGAGTCCATTCGACGTAAAGCTATTGTCCAAATTCAAAGCTAAAATGGCTCGTATAGTACCGCTTACCTTGTCGGTCGAAGACACAATAATTTACATTCCAATAACGATGGTTAATAAATTTAATATTTGTTACTGTTTATAGTGATATTATCTCGCAACTAAATGTAAGCATTCGCTAAGTCATAAACATAGCTTAGTTTATGGAAAAATAAATTCACATTTTTTTATCTGATTTCCCCTTCGGCTCTTCATAATGCAACACACAAGCAACCAGCGCTAACTTTCAAGGATCTTAGAGTCTGTTATATATATAAACTAGTCTTAAGTTATATTATTGTAGATGGCAACACGTTGAGCCCAGAGACAATTATTGTGATTTGGTGGCCTGTGAATTAAAGTGTGTGACAAGAAATTGTGTATTAATAAATTACTAATCTTACTAATTAACTAAGACATTTGACGACGAGACTAAGATACAAACCATATGTACAATAATATAATTTAACACTAATTTATATATTATTATACTAGTGGTCCCGCAGTAGTCGAAATTCGACTATAATTAATTGGAATTATAAGTTTGTACACTATTATGAATGTATTTTATACTTCCATTATCACAAATTTCGCCAAGACTACACTATAAAAAATATTAACAAAGACAAACAATATTTAATCACAATTTGACAACAGACGTCAAGAACAAAAGTTTGACAATAAATACATGTGTGTGTGCGTCAAATACATGGTATGTAGTGTGTGTAATGTTTTCTTTATTGATTTAATGTACTTTTTCTGCATTATTTAAAAAAAATATGAGCATTGTGCACTTCTTCTCTATATAAGTGTGGAAAATTTCATACTCCTCCGTCCGCGCAATTTTCGTAAAAAGGGATACAAAGTTTTTGCTTCACGTATTAATATATATGTCGTGGATAACGACTTTTAGTTGTCGTGGATAACGACTTTTGGTAATATTAAGACGGTGGTTTTGATTATTATTTTAAATGATGAAATGTTGTTTTGATAAATATCACAAAATGAAGGGTAGACTCCGTAACGCCACAGTATAAAATGGCGGTACGTGGACAGAGTCGTGGCATTTCGTGTAAGACAGTTATTCCGTCCGTCTCAGTCAGTCAGTCAGTCGGTCTGTCGGTATGTGCAACGAAACTGTCGGTTTATCCTGTCATTGTGAAAATTGTGTGTGTTGAGTTTCAATAATTATTATTCAAAAGGTTTTATTGACTTATTATAAACTGAGTTCAACTAAATACGAGTGATGACGGAAACTACCGCTCAGCCATCCCTGACGTGCGCCAACATATAGATAACACTAGACCTTATAGCAGCGAATTCAATGTAAACTGTATAACAGCTACATACCATAGATTTGTTGACTAACTGTTAGTCAACAACAGAAGAAATAAGGTAGATTGACTAAACTAATTTATTCTGTTCGTAATTCCCATTCTCCTCCTTTATTTTTACATAAACTATATTAAATTAAATATCTCATTAAGCGGGAAGAAGAAAATAAAAAAAGACAACGTTAAATATATTTTTAAACTATGTAGGAGATGTTTGGAATTACGCTAAGTAATTAGATTTACAGTTTACCCATCGGGCCAACATTATTACAGTACTCTGTGGGGCAGCCGTTGTAACTATACTTGAGACCTTAGAACTTATATCTCAAGGTGGGTTGCACATTTATGTTGTAGATGTATTGGGCTCCAGTAACCACTTAACACCAGGTGGGCTGTGAGCTCGTCCAACCATCTAAGAAATAAATTTAAAAAAAACCTTAAAAACTGGGACCGTAGAACTCATGTTTCAAGTATAGTGGCCGCATTGACGTTATTGATATTTATGGACTCTGGTAACCACTTCACATCAACTGGGACGTGAGCCCGTTCACCCGTCCAAGCAATAAAACAGCCCTTTCTGCGCTAAAAAAAAAACGTAAAATCCGAAAGCTTAGGTCACTGGCGTTTAGAATTGGCGTATTTACGTTGCTCGGCAGCCACCAGACAACCTTGAAAGATTGATTGTGGTGGGCAAGGTAGAAGGGACAAGACCCGCCGGCCGACCACCAAACCGTTGGTCGGGTCAGATAACTGCGCTCACTGGACTCTCTGTTGCGAACGCCCTGAGAAAAGCCGAAAACCGAAGCAAATGGAAGCTGAGGGTACAAAGAGCCACGAAGGGCTTTCAAGGACACGACCTTCAGCAATGAAATATTCGACTAAAAAGAAGAAGAAGAAAACGTTGTAGATGTCTATGGGCTCCAGTAACCACTTAACATCAGGTGGGCTGTGAGCTGGTCCACCCATCTAAGCATTAAAAAAAAAACACATTTGCCCGATATGGGAATCGAACCCACGACCCTCGGCCCAGCAGTCAAGAGCACTAACCACTGCACCGCCGACTCATTCATCCTAATCTGCACATCCATCCGAATATGCTACAAGCAAAACGTGTCATAAACAAAGAAAAACGAAACCAGCTTTATATGTTTCGAAGGCAGGTAAACGGATTGTAATGAATACGGATGCCTCAAGAAATGTCACGCATTTATCACTCGCTCCGAAGCGAGACACTACGTTGACCATAATGCATGAGGACTAGATTTCATTTATTTATTTTATTAGGCTCACAATACACATCACAAGCTAAAGATACATAAAAACACACAAATAAAAATAAACAAAATCTGGCTTGCAACATAAGCTATGTGCGCACGACAAAACAAGACATATAGTGCTGAATTTGTATAACAATGTTCCTTACAATTATGACAAAACAACACAATAACAAAGACTAATCTAACGAATAATGTGAGGAAAAAAAAATATTCACAATATAATACATTAAACAATTACATTAACCTACCTATTAATAAAGATATAATAAAGATTTTACTGGTGGTAGGACCTCTTGCGAGTCCGCACGGGTAGGTACCACCGCCCCGCCTATTTCTGCCGTGAAGCAGTAATGCGTTTCGGTTTGAAGGGTGGGGCAGCCGTTGTGACTATACTGAGACCCTAGAACTATATCTCAAGATGTGTGGCGCATTTACGTTGTAGATGTATATGGGCTCCAGTAACCACTTAACACCAGGTGGGCTGTGAGCTCGTCCACACATCTAAGCAATAAAAAAAATAAAAAAAAATTACCAATATCTAGAAAATATATACCAGGATACTGTGATCGCAGACCCATACTTACTGGTGATATGGCGTAATACTAGCACGCACGGGTATGTGTCTATTGGTGGTAGGACCTCTTGTGACCTCGCACGGGTAGGTACCACCACCCTGCCTATTTCCGCCGTAATGCATTTGGGTTTGAAGGGCGGGGCAGCCGCTGTATCTATACTAAGACCTTAGAACTCATACCTCAAGGTGAGGGGCGGCATTTACGTTGTAGATGTCTATGAGCTCCGGTAACCACTTAACAACAGGTGGGCTGTGAGCTCGTCCACCCAACTAAGCAATAAAAAAATTAGCCCACCAAAATTCTCACACTGGTCGCTTTAGAAAATGGTTGTCTGTCCCA